CACACACACACACACACACACACACACACACACACACACACACACACACACACACACACACACACATAAAAAATCAATCAGTCATAATCTGCTGTGATTCATGGTTTCAGAAAACAGCTCGTTCCATCTGGATTTCATTTTCATAACTCAGACCCTCGATGACTTCTCTCAGCGACCCGACATCCTTTTATTCGAGCGGCTGGCAGCCTGTGAGGCAGTTCGCTCTGATCCAGCTGCTCCTGTTCAGCGCTCATTAAAACGCACCGCTCCCCAATTACTTCCACCAATCGAGGGGGTGGGGGGGGTACCTTCATGGTCTACGACTTCAGACAGTAAAGGTTCAGAGAGGAAAGCAAAAACCTAGAATACACCTAACAACAAAAAATACTTTGAGCAGTCCTGAAAAAAAAAGAGGAGCACACTTTTGATGTTTTATATAAAATGAATCAAAAGTAAAATTATTTTTTTAAATCATCATAATTGACCTGATACATTTAGAAATAAATAGAAAATTTAGGAAATAGGGGTTATTTAAAAAACTCTAAACTTTTTAAATACTGATATACTGTATACAGTCAAATATTTCAAAAATATTCCTTCAAACAACAACAAAGTGTTTCAGTCTTCATGTGACCAGAATAAAACTTGTGAGGATGATGCTTTTATCACATGAAAACCAGAGATAAAAATCTGTTGSCGAAAATCAGACCGAATGTCTTCAAAACCGCTACGAGGGATTTAACTTAGGAGTCTAAATTTATCAAAAGGAAGGGAAGAAGAAAGGGAAAGAAACAAAACATGAAGGGAAGAAGGAAACTCACAGGCCTGTTTCTGTTCTCGTCTGTCTGTTAGCAAAATACATGAACCACTGGACGAATTTTAGTAAAACTTAAAAAAAAATAACAATGCTATTTAACCMAATTCAAGTTGGCCACCACGGCACGATAACGGCTATTGTTCTATAAATTTTATAAATACTCGGCTAAAATTGGTGTGGTGGTAGCTGAGACTCCTCCCCAACACAAACACCAAAAAACTTGGGCAATGAAGGGTGGAGCCAACTCTCAATGTCTTTTAGCGAGGTATGTAACAAACCAATGCATGGATTTTTATGAAAGTTATCATTGAAAAAGCATCTAAAAYCGATTAGTGTTTTGAGTCAATTCAGTTCAAGACGGTTGCCAGAGCTAATCATTCTTATAAAAGACAAAAATGGCTGTAATTATATCAGTTTCATAGATAATCAGTAATTCATTTTCTATAAAAACTGAWATAATTACAGCCATTTTTGTCTTTTATAAGAATAATCAGCTCTGGCAACCGTCTTTGATGCGGTAGTAGCCAAGAGTGATCCTTAGCATAAAAGAGGGTGAAAGCTTAAGAGCTATTATTTTCCACTTTTGCTTTAAACCTGGCAGGTGATGTGCAATCCTTCAGCTCATAATGGTGTTGATGTTCTGATCGGCCTTGTAGAGATTAAATATGAGCAAAAAAAGCTTCGAGATAGGACTCAGTTTGACTTCTTTTTTTTCCTTATCATGTAAAAAACTTTAATAAACTCTTTTCTTCTTAAAAGCAGATGTTGTCTCTGCAGCTCATTTCATCTTTTATCTTTTTCGAAGTCAGACGAAACACAGCACCAAAGTCTTGCGATCCACTGTCACAACACTAATCTCTCATACTGATCTCTTCATTTAAAGAAGAAAAAACACCAAAAAGAACAGATGTCACCCAGCGAAGATCAAAACACAACGCTGATTGATTGTTACTGAGCTGCAGACGGCGGAAGATCAGGAAATCAAGCTGAAAAACATCTAAGGATTTGACAGAAAGTACAAAAAAAGGTTGTTTGGTTTACTAAACTAATTAGATTTGGAGTCTTAAGAAAAAAAGTCTTGGTGAATGAAGGCAATCTTGTTACTGTAGTGTTTGTTTTTCTTCTGGAATGCGACATAAGTCCCATTATTCAGCAGCAGTAGGCAGAATTGTCCACAAGTTTGGCTCTTTGTGTGTCCATCAGCAGTCTTGTTAGTRTCCTTGACGACACCGAGACTGTTCACATGCGCTCATTAGATGATCTAAGAGACAGTTTAATGAATAAAAACAAAATCTGACCCCAAATTAGATGTGACAGGATCCTCAGATTGGTTCTCCCAAAATCAACAGCCGAACGTGCCGCTGCATATGAATGACGACCCGAGCGCTAATGAAGAAAAGATGAATGGAKGAAGTCAAAGAGCAGCTTTAATTTGAATCCAAGAAGACAAAAGAAACATTAGCGTTCGCTAAAGAACTCCTCCGTGTGTCTTTTTTTTTTTTTCTCGTTGGTTTGCAGCCCCTGGACTACGAGAAGAAGCGTCAGTACAGCCTGACCGTTCAGGTGGAAAACGACAAAATCAACCCGCGTTTCTACTCCATGGGGCCCTTCAGGGACACGGCCACCGTCAAGATCGTGGTGGAGGACATGGAYGAGCCGCCCGTGTTCGAGCGCGCCAGCTACATCATGGAGGTGAAGGAGGACGCCGCGAGGAACACGATCATCGGCTCGGTCAGCGCGTCCGACCCTGATGACAAACACAGTCCTGTCAGGTACCGAATCCCATTTATATTCTGCTCCGCTCTTTATGTTKGCACGTTTTTAAATAAGAAACCCATTTGTTTGCTCTGAACATTTTTTGGTGCAGGATGTGGTTAAAAAAACTCAAAATACCTCTTTTATTATACTTTTTATTAATATTTTCTGCTTTATGTATCGATTTGTATTTTTTAAATAAATTTATTAATGTCATTTAAAAACAAAACAAATGCCATGCATACAACAAACAATAATACAACACAAATCAAATGAAAGGTAGCAGAAAGAAGAAAAAAAAATCTTATTAATATCTGCCCTTTTTTAAAATAAACTAATTGAAACAATAATAGTCTTCAAACAACAAAACCTAACAAAAATTTCAACTCCTTCTCGAACAACGGTTCTTATGAATGCACACTATACTAATTCATATCTCCTCAACAATCTAACTTTCATCATTCTCTTAAAAAAAATTATTGAGCCAGCATTTTCATGATCACTTTCCAGATTGTTCCACAGTCTTATTCCTTGGACCAAAGTACATCTGTCCTTCAAATTTAATAATATAAATTTTAATTTAATTTAATTTATTTACTTTTATATCTTGCATTGGCCTGCTCATTTAAGAACTTCATGCACCCCAAGTGTTGGATCCGAACCTTGATATGAGGTCCAGATTTAAAAAAAAAAACATTCTTAATTTTTTGTCAAAACCCAAAACACTGCAATTTTTTCAGGAAAACTCATTTTGCTGTTACCATTTGTTCATAAGTCAGACAAATGWGGTAAAACAGTAGATTTTTGTCACCTGCAGGGCTAACGTTGTGAACTCACTGTGACATTTTTCTGSATTTCTTTGCATCTAATATAGTAAAACATGTTTCCTAAACACAACCAAGACATTTGCTGTGAGTAGAAAAAAACAAAAGAAAAGTACGTGGAAAAATATCTAATGATTGTCGAGACCTTGTATGTCAAGGTTTAGATTGTGCTACATTTTAAAAAAAAAAAGTATTTCAGTCACAAAAAAATCTGCTAAAAATATGGCAATTAAATGACCCGTCACATCGACAGTGTTGCTAACTTCGCATATTTGTCACTAGATTTAGTGAGATTTCAGACCCTTCTAATGACCCTTTCCCAAAAAAGCAACCAGTGACAAATCTAGCGACTTTTTACGTTGTTATTGGAGACTTTTGTGACAGCAGCGAGTGGTGCTGTGAGCCTGACGAGAGGTTAGACTCACTAAAGCAACAACCCCCAGCTGCAGTCAGAGCAGAAAGGAGACMGCTGAAAATGAACCCYGTATTCTCAAAGCCGCCACTGATCCTGTTCATTTGCGGTCCTGAGCATATTTAGTGTTTTTGCTTAGGGGTCTTCCTAAAACGCAAATCAAGCCATATCTCTGGAACCGCTCCTGATACGATCTGTGTATCAAAATAYAGCTTAAAAAGCCAGAAATGTTCAAATGTGATTGATTTGATGAGATAGGTCACATCAAATCAGTGCAAGTGTTCTAAAGTCATATTTTAAATGTGATAAAATGATTTTTTTTTTAGACTAGTGTAAAATGGTTTTACTTGAGATGTAGCTGGATCAACACTCAGTTCACCTCCAAATCCAATCAGTCAGGCCAAGATATCTATTTTTGCTGTACTCTGACAACATTTTGGTTTGCCACCAAAGCCTGAAGTTGAGATGAGAGATCAGCGCTCAGCTTTTATTTCCAGCTCTGCAGACTGTTATCTGTGCCACCGCTCAGATTGAAGAGTTGAAACGGAAAGTTTTTTGGTGAGCAGATGTAAAGGAACAGTTAGGTACTCCACTAGGCCCCATTTTTACACTGGATGGTGACCCCAAAACGACGATAAAGAAAACCTGCCCCAACATGGATTGTCTTTRCAGGGTGTTAGGGAGGTCTACAGGCGTGTGTTAGGATTGCAGAGGGCTCCCTATTATGTTTGATAGAGCGTGGCGGAGCCACACATTCTAATAGAAAATGCATGTTGTGGAGCGCACAGCCCAGTCATCATCTAGTATGAAGAGGCCCTTAAGGCCCAAACTTTTACAATCCTGTTTTATGTTGCTTCTCCAGGTTTTTTCTCCTTAGYCTCTTTCGGTTTTCGTTTAAAAGAGTTCCCCCCCTTTGCTCTTGTCTTTATTCTGTAAAATTCAGCTCAGCGAGGATCAAATCTGCAGGTTGTGCAAAACTTCCCGCTCTCTTCTACACTTCTACAGACGTACTCCTCAGTTGGTTCGGCAGTGTGTTGTGGGTTGATGAACAACACTGCCAACAGTTTGATTGCATTTGTCTTTAAACGTTTCTTTGGACTTCTACAAAAAAATAAAAAATAATAAAATAAATGAAAGAAAATCAATGAGCCAATCCTAAAAGCAGAGCCTTTCCTTCTCCGCACATCAGTTTGTTAAAGGTTAATCCATAAAAGCTTGTTGCAGAACTTATGAGCCAAAAGACAGTGAAGCCTTTACTGCCAGTGGCTAAAAATGTCAGAACAACAGTGTTCTATGTGCTGGTTGAGAACAAGTTAAATAAGCGTATCATGTGTTTTTGTAGGTAAAAAAAAGAGCACAAATTTGTGTTTTGTGATTATTTCATTTGTTGTAACAATGCATTTTGGTAATAAATCTTATATAATTGGAAAGCCTGTTTGTTTCCCTTTAAACATTCAACATTGCCACATTTGTAAGGAAAATAACATTTGTGGGATGAGCAGCAGAGTGATGATTGTGGATTTTGTGTGTGAAAAACTACTAGTTCCAAACAACCTATTCTGTCATAGACTCATGTTCTCATGTTCTGAGCTTCTGCCTGATTGGCAGCACCTGTGAGCAACCAGTGGCAATCCTATGTCTTTCCAATCTGGGACCAAACCTCCAAGATAAAAACACTTACCCTCACAGAGTGACTTTATCAGAGACTACCTCCAGAATTGGTCATCGGACATTTCTGACCTCAGCACCATTGAACACCTTTGAGATCAGCCTGGGCGTGCTCTTTGTTCCAGAGTTGAGCAACGCAACGACACAGTAGGGTTGGGCAATATTGACAAAAAAAATAATCACAATTATTGTGGTATTTAGCCGATGACAATTCATATGACAATTGATTCCCTGGAGTCCCTAGACGCCTGTATGTGTAAGTCACATGACCAATTTAAATCACTCTAGTGGGAAAGATTTGCTCCCCATAAAAATATGTTCGAAATTTTGTCAAAAGTACAGACTTCAGGCTATACGTCATTTTTTTTTTGTTGTGTTGATAGGCCAAGTAAAACCAGAGTTATAATAAATAAATTACAGATTTACTTATTTTAAAAAAGTGTTTGTCATAGTTGAAGCAGAGAGGAGCATCAGTCAGTCTGCCTGGCAGCATTAATCATATAAATTGTCAAGTATCGAAAAATAATAAAGCTTTTCTGACGTTTAATTGCTTACGATACGATTTTGACCAACCCTAACACACAGACTCGCTTGCAAAAAATACTGTTTTAAAACAGAAAGTCTTTCCACAACAGTATGCGACCAGGCTAGAGAGTAACAACATGAGAAGGTGCCAGGCTCTTGTGGCTGTGTATGGTTCTTCCACATGCTACTGAGGCTCTTTGTTAAAAGACTAACTTGTGAAATTGCCAATATGTCTTGTTTCTTCAGACTTCAATCATCACATCCAATAAACAATGCCAAACAAGATATCAGAATAAGTTGGTTGGTATTGGCATAGAATAATTGGCAAGATTTTCGTAAGCGTAACCCACATACTCAACTCACAAATGCATTTTCCTTACAAAAATGGCACCATTTTCAACAGAAAAAGATTTTCTGCCAAAAAGCATTGTTACAACAAATAAATGATCTTTCAAACAAACATTGCCTTCCTTTTTGTGCTATGTTTATGTGAATACAACACAGAAACCTCACTATATTTGTGACTTTCTTCAGCAATAATGTTTCTGAATTTATTTATTTTTCCTGGGCTTCAAACTGTCCCCCACACAAATGAAAGGACCTAGAAACAGATTGTGACTAAAAGACAGCACGTATTAGCAATTTCATCCATCCATCCATCCATCCATTTTCTTCCGCCTATCCGGGGTCGGGTCACAGGGGCAGCAGCTTCAGAAGGGCCACTTCTTCCAGCTCCTCCGGGGGGAACTCCAAGGCGTTCCCAGGCCAGCCGAGAGACATAGTCCCTCCAGCGTGTCCTGGGTCTTCCTCGGGGCCTCCTCCTGGTGGGACGTGCCCGGAATACCTCACCAGGGAGGCGTCCAGGAGGCATCCTTACCAGATGCCCGAGCCACCTCAACTGGCTCCTCTBGAYDTGGAGGAGCAGCGGCTCTACTCTRAGTCCCTCCYGGATGACYGARCTTCTCABCCTATCTCTAAGGGAGAGCCCAGCCACCCTGCTGAGGAAACCCATTTCGGCCGCTTGTATCCGGGACCTCGTTCTTTCGGTCATGACCCAAAGCTCATGACCATAGATGAGGGTAGGAACGTAGATCGACCGGTAAATCGAGAGCTTCGCTTTCTGACTCAGCTCTCTCTTCACCAYGACGGACCGGTACAGTGCCTGCTTTACAGCAGATGCTGCGCCAATCCGCCTGTCGATCTCCCGCTCTCTCTCCCGCTTATCTGTTATTTTTCAAATACATTCAGCCACTAAACCTGCTCCCATCAAATGAATCATTTAAATGTTTGTTCCAACGTTAAACACTGATCGCTGCTGTTGTTTCCCCACCACAAACACAATCAGCATTAAAAAGGAAACTTTATCGTTTGCCACCAAAAAAGGGGTAGAATTGTGTGAAAAGTTCATTCTGTCGAGTCAGTTCATGGAGCATCATAATTATGCGAGTGATCTAATAAACAGGAATGATGGCAGAGAGGTGTGAGGCTGCACCTCGACTCTGTCGCAGACTTTTTCATTTTTACGACGCACTGAGGGAGTTGGCTCTCAAGGTTGAAGTTCCACCACTTTACTGCAGGTGTCAAATATGATATCATTCTCTTTTATCGCCAGCCATCAAGGAGGAAGCTTCCCTGTGGCATTTAAAGCTGCAGCGAGGAGGAGGAGGAGGAGGAAGAGCAGAGAGGGCTGCAGGCTGCCCGGGATGAGGAAGTTTCCGACACACGTGTGACTGCAAACAGGAATCGTTAAAGAAACAGTCTGGACCAAACGCAGACGAATGAACGGAGAGATATTTAAGAGAACATGAGATGCTCCGTCAGCTAACGTTGTCYGATAAAACCGATGGAAACTTGTTAATTATCTTCAGGCCTCTAAAACGTGAACACCACTCATATTCAGAGGACATTGCCGCCATTAAAAGTTCTGACTTTGCCTGACAGACATGATTAAAGACCCTGAAACGCTCTAAAATATGGAAATTTAATCATTTACAGCCTGACGACAGCTGCTGACGATGAGCCCAGGTTCCCGAGCTGTTAACAAATAAAGCTTCAGGCTCTGCGCGGCTACAGAGAGATCAGACCTCAGAGAGGTTTTTATTCTCTGCGTCAGAAACAACAGCACCTAATATATTCCGATGTGTAGGTCGAGGCAAGTTTGCATTTTAAAAAGTAGCACTCCCACGGCTTGTTCAGGAAAAAGAAAACAGAAAGTATTAATGATCTATTTCAGTTTGTTTACATATGGCATCAATTAGCATCAATACGGCAAAACCTATAATAAGTCATTTTATAGAGAAGGTAAACGAGTTCAGCCACATATGCAAGATAAATTAAGCCTTTTGTGATTAGTTTCTGCTTTATTTCCTATCCAATTTCTGTGTAAATTAGATGTAATTAGGTTTCATAATTTCAAGACCAACTTATATTTCATCCCAGGGGTGGGCGATATGAGCTAAAACTGATTTTGCTATTATTTTTCACAACACTGTGATATTTCTCGAAAGTCTGTATCTCAGGTTGTGATGTCACAAAGCTAGAGTTTAGATTTGTAGCTGAACCTGACCCGGAAATCAAATGCTTGATGGTCGGGCTTCTGCGGCGCGTTTTTAAAAAGCCATACAGCACAGAGAAAACTAAACAAGAATCCAAAGTCGTGTCAATCTACGTGTTTGCTTAGAGCTGTAAGATATAACACAAAAACATTCAAACCCAAAAATTATCCATAAAGTTGGGGAGCATAGTAGGGAGTAAATTTTGACAGGTTTTTTTTTTAATGTGCTACTGTATACTTTTCAATATAATAATGGAAATATTGTGATTAATCCTCATTTCTCACTCTGTCCTCTCGCTGTAGAATATGTCRCGCAAAGCTAAATATTTAAACAGAGTGGTATTTTATCATGGCCAGCCTGAGGCACGTCTGTGCAATAACCGTGCTGTCTGATCAGCACCTTGATATGCCACACCTGTGAGGTGGGATGATCTATGCAAAGGAGAAGTGCTCACCATCACAGATTCAGACAGATTTGTGAACAATATTTGAGAGAAATGGTTATTTTGTGTTTACACAAAAGTCTAAGAACAAAAGCACTAAAGCACTAAAGCTTAATTAAAACAATAGATTGGGTTTCATTTGGGCTCCGGCCTTTAATTAGAGTTAATTAGTCAGGTTGGATCAGGCTTGGACTGTGGGTTCAGGATGGGTTGGATTTTTTTCGGTCTGATCTTTGCAAACAAACATTCTGTGAATAAAYTGTAACATTCTGGATGTAAAGTTTTTTTGTCGCACTTTAAACTTCTCTGTTGTTGAGCAGATAACACAGAGCAGAAACAGAAAAAAAAACAGCATAAACCTCAGGGTCTGACAAACACAAAAGAAAGATTCACAGGCCAAACCCGGCCCCCCACCCAATCGTCCCACTCACAGGCTCTTGTGTTGCACAAGGGATCCGAGCTGTCGGATCATCGGGCGGATAAAGGTTGGGTCGTCGTGTCAAAGTGTCCTCATCCAGGAAACCGCCCTCGCAAACACTCCTCCTGCTTTCATCTGTGCCTGTTCGTATCTGCAGAAATGTAAATCCACAGAGTGTAAACATGGCAGGTGCTGAAACTCTTCAACTCGGCACATTCGCTGACTTTATTGTGGCTTTTTAAAGCGTTGAACTCATGTTTAGAACTGACAAAGCTCCCCGGACGGGAAACGTCTTCAACTGCAGAGTAGGAGTCCGGTTGTTTTGTTTTGGTTTTTACTTATTTTTAGACCTCTGCGTCCTTTCATCTGTCCAAGCAGCAGYCGACCAACTCACAGCAGCACTTTGCTTCAGATGCCTGTTCTGCTCTGGATGATGCTCGGTCAGTAAATTGGGGGGTGGGGGGTGGGGGTGTTGACCCCAGCTGGCTAAATTATGGGGCTTCTTGGAAAAGCAATTAGTAAAGCCCGTGTCTGATACACATTTAACGAGGTTAGAGTTACAGTCTGGCCTGGCAGCGCGTTAAGAGAGGAAGATAAAGACACTGGGAAGGAAGAAAAGTACAAATCTGATGGAGAGTGGAAAGCGGAGCGCCGGTGCGTTCACGGTCTCCCCTCAGGGGTCTCCTGCCTCTTACGCCAGGCCCTCGTGATGCCTGCTACTCCATTAATCACACTGATGCATCGCGGTCGTCTGGGAGCCAGAGAAAACAACACAACCGTTGTCTCCGGTGTGTGTTTGTGCGGATGTGGGAAGACCTCTCGTCACAACAGGACAAAGACGGTTTACCACCGTGTTGCATAAAAAAAAAAATCCAACACTGCTCACCACTCCAGTTCCATGGATTTAGTCATAGTTTCAGTTCTGAATAAAAAGCTTTGAGGATTTTTATTTCATTTTRACATTTCAGCTCACATGTGTAAATAAGTCGATGCGTAACGGACAAAATGTTCCCAGGATTTTCTAAAAGTAGAACCCTTGTTCGGCTCATTTCTTTAGACAAAAAATAAATCAAAACAAGTTATAAGAAGATTTTTTTCTGATAGAGAACATCTCTTGTAATGTGCGAACAAAAAGCAGTATGTACTTACCCATCATGCTTATCCAAACATGCACCCCTCTTCGTCTGATGAAGCCATTCTCTACTAAAAGTCACCATTTTTTAAAATTTCTCCACCGTATCAACAAGCTCTAAAAGTGCGTCCTTCGCCTCAGACTTTTAAGTCCCTCTGTGTTTTTCTCGCAGGTACACTATTGATCGGCGCACAGACATGGACCGAGTGTTCAACGTCCACGCGGGGAACGGGTCGGTGTTCATCCTCAGGGAGCTGGACCGGGAGGAGAACGCCTGGCACAACATTTCCGTCATCGCCACCGAGTTCAGTAAGTGCAACATTCTTGCAGCCAAATCGGACTTTTGGAATTCATGGTCATCTATGAATGTTAAAGAAGTGTTGGCTGTTTCTCCTCCAGCTGAAAGCACTTAGATGAGTTTGGAAAAAATAAAACAACAACCTGAAATTTACTCTCACTATGTCAATATAAAATATATTTTTAGTAGTTTTCTATTCGTAGCTGTTAATTTGAAACTTTCTGCCAACTTTAATCTTTGTGACTGTGATAAAATTAAACGTTAAATCGCTTACTTATTTGGTCATTCCCCCCACTTTTAATGTTTTCTAATTAACTTTTTGTCCCTTGTTTTTCTGTCAATAAGACTTCAAGCTTCTGCAGAGATTTCACAACTGAAGTCTCCTAATTAACAGTGTCTTAACAGATTAAAAAACAGGGGAAAATATTAGCAAAAGAAGCTTCTGATTTGTTGTTGTACTGATTTGTTTTTCTTTTTTCTCTTTCTCACCCTAACAAGCTATTATTTAATTAAATATGTGATTTTCATATAATTAGTTTGCCTGGAGACGGAGCCAAAGTTGCACACGTTCTGCTGAAACAAAAGATTGATTCACGTGATTGTGACGGTGCCCACCTTTTTGTGTTTCCCAGACAACCCGCGGCAAATAAGCCGGGTGCCCGTGTACGTCAGGGTGCTGGACATCAACGACAACGCTCCAACGTTGGCCACCAATTACGAGGCGTTCGTGTGTGAGAACGCCAAGGCTAATCAGGTTGGTTGTTTCAGAGCATAAAGCCATCGCCATGGTTTCATCTGGTCCTCCACGTTAGGGGATTATCCGTCCAATTAGTAGACCTCAGAAAGAGTTTGGTACTCAGTCACATGTTTTAAGCTTCGAGATGTTTTCTCTTTTTTTTATTTTTTATGATAGGATCAGTATCTTCCCTCAAGCAGAAATAAAAAAACAGTAGGAGATGCACAAAGCTATAAATATAGATACTCTCACAGGTGGCTCCAGATGTGTGTTAGTTGAGTTGCGTGGAGTAGCAAGAGTTTACCTGCAATGGACTGTGAAGTTGGAGTGGTTTAAGTTTGGAGATCAAATAAGTATCTGCTGAAATCTACTCAAGGTAACGACTTTTTTAAACTATCTGGTGCTCAAGCTAAACGCTASACAAACAAAATGCTACGTGACCTCTATTTAAGCCAGTTCATCGTAATTATTTTCTGTCCTGCCTCCCCTAGGGAATTACATTTTTTTACACTTTCCCCGAATTGAAATACTATTGAGAACCTGAAAATATTTAATGATTTATCTGTACAAACCACTGTATGACTTTCTGGCACCGGCATTCTTATGACCTGCTAATGATAGGGGAAATAGTGTGTTACGAAAAAGAGCAAACATTAATGGGCCTCATGCAAGAACCGTTCGTACGCACAGATTTGTTCTTAAGTTGTGCGTGCGAGTGATTTAGG